ATAACATTGGCTTAAACAATATGAAATAATTTGTCCTTTTGAACATTACAGTATAGCTAGTTTTTTTGCTAGGAACAATGCTATTCATGGCGGGTCAATTATTATTTTAAAAAATTATGTAGAATTTAAAACCGTCAAGACATTGTAAATATTTCCATTGAGCAAACAATTGAACTATCATGCGTAGAATTAGTTACTCGTATAATAATTTGTGTTTATCATCCGCCATCGGCTTGTTTTGATTCTTTTGAACTGGCTATGGAGAAAGCATTGAGATGAGCCACACGGAGGAATAAAACATTATTTGTATGTGGCGATTTTAATGTTGATTTATTATCGGGATGCTCAATAAGATTGATTAACTTATTTAATCTTTTGATTTGCACAATCTTTGCAGAAAATTCTGCCACTTGTATAGATAATGTTTTCTGTAATTGTGAAGTATAAAGGTGAAAATGAATTTCGACTGTCTTGGCTCTGATCATTATGGACAAAAAATTGATTTAAATAAGGGGTCTAAAGGGACTCAAACAATTACATTCAGACAAATTACAAAAAATAATTTGGCACGTTTTAAAAATAAAATTGAACATAAAATATCTAGTCTCGTAATACCTCAATGTGACCCGGACATTGTATGTGAACATATTTTTAATTGAATTGAGCAAGACGCTAGCAATGAATTTAAAACAAAAACATTTTCAACTAATGTAAAATCAAAGTTTTGTGACTGGGCCACGTTTGGTATTTATAAATCTAGGGCTAATCTTTACGAACTTTACGAAAAACGAAGCTATATATCCGATCCCCTATTTCATGAATATGTAAAATCTTATTCGAAAATATTTAAAAGGGTTTGTCAGATGTCAGCTAAGTCTCTCTATTTGGGTAAAATAATAACTAAATCTAAAGATAAAATAAAAGCCACTTGGAAAGTAATAAATAGCGAAACTGGAAAAGTTAATGTTCAAAATAGCAAAATAGCTTTATATATTAATAACAAATTGGTAAATTCCGACACAGAGGTCGCGGATACATTCGAATCTTATTTTACTAATATTCCATTAATTACGACACAGGCTCTAAAATCTTCCTCGTCTGCTGCTGAAACTTTACTAACAGACAATGTTAGCAAGTCATCAGCTGTATTTAACTTTACACACACAACATCAGTAGAAATAATGAAAATATTAAACGGCTAAATAATAAAAAAACAGAGTATTTATGGGGTATATCTGTTAAAATACTGGATAGTATAATGGAAATTATTGCGCTATCTCTTTCTTTTATTTTTAATAAATGTATAGGTGATGGTAAATTTCCTAATATAATGAAAATTAGTAAAATCATACCACTTTTTAAATCTGGAGACAGGACTGACCCAATAAATTATAGACCTCCCTAAGAGGTAGCACAGTAAAATTTTTGAAAAAATAATCCTTATGCAACTTGTCAGTTATTTCAATTTAAATAATTTAATTCACAATAGTCAATTCGGTTTTTCCAAAGGTCGTTCAACTACAGACGCAGGTGCAGAGTTGCTCAGACACGTATTTGCTGCATAGGAAAATACAATGGATGCGATAGGTGTTTTTTGTGACCTTTCTAAGGCTTTTGATTGCGTTGATCATAACACATTATTGAAAAAACTGGCTTTTTATGGCGTCAAAGACAACGCTTTAAATTTAATAAAATCTTATTTATTTCATAGAATACAGAAAGTAAAGGTTAGCAGCGCTACGTCTGACGGGTCACTTGTGCAAATGAGTGTACCTCAAGGATCTATTCTCGGTCCATTTTTATTCCAAGTATACATAAATGATCTCCCATATGGCATGCAGGATAGATGCGGGATAGTGTTATTTGCAGATGATACTTCATTGATTTTTAAAGTTAATAGAATGACTAATAATTATGACGATGTAAATAGTGCTTTGCGGCGTCTCTTGCACTGGTTTACAACTAACAATCTTATGTTAAACGCTAAAAAAACAAAATGTGTTAATTTCTCTCTGTCTAAAAGTTTTAATACTAATTGCAACATAAAATTAAATGACGAATCTCCCGAATTTATAGAATCTACTGTCTTTCTAGGAATCACATTAGATAATAAAACACAATGGGGTGCACAAATTCAAAGTCTTGCAGCGAAACTGAGTTCAGCAGCTATTGCCCTACGTAAGGTTAGACAGTACACTGATACTGATACTGCTAGATTGGTCTATTTCAGTTATTTTCATAGTTTACTCTCTTATGGAATATTATTATGGGGAAAAGCGGCAGATATTAAAAATATATTCATATTACAAAAACGTGCCATTCGAGCGATCTACTGTATGAAGAGTCGTGACTCATTAAGAGAGAAATTCAAGGAGGCAAATATTCTCACCGTTGCTTCTCAATTTATATATTCAAATATTCTATATGTTCATAAAAATCTTGACTTATTTCCAAAAAACAGCAATATTCATAATATTAATACTAGATTTAAAGATAAACTTGCTGTCCCCAAGTATCGTTTAGAAAAAGTCAATAGGTCTTTTATGGGAATAGGTATAAACATTTACAATAAGATACCAAAGGATATATTGGAATTATCCTTAAATAAATTCAAAACATCTGTTAAATCATATTTACTGAGCAAGGCTTATTACTCACTAAACGATTACTTGAATGACGAGCGTGCATGGCAGTAGTTTTCATGTTCGGGATTTTCATTTAATGTTAGACATAGACATTTAACCTAGCCTGCTTTCGGCTGGAGAGGACCACAAAATCCGCTCCTCCAAAGTTGCCGGTCCCAAGCCCGGATAAATAGCGAGGGTCTTTGTATACAGTATATGTATGTATATTATAAAATAACTTACAAGTAGTGTCATATTTATATTAATATATCCTTCTTCTCTTTCAAACTATCATATTTATTTCAATCAGCTGCACCTAGTAGGTGAGTCTGCAGCACATATGTATATATATTGTATCAATAGTGTATTTATAAATAAAATGTGCCTGGGCAAGCACCAGAACTAATTATAGCCTTCCTATATATATTTACCTATATACTATTAAATTTAAATAGCTTCCTGCACCTACCTGCGCTAAGGCCTGCGCAGTTGAGCGCCGTAAGCGGGGAAGACGGGATCCTGGGAGGTTGAGTCAATCGGAGGTCGGAGCAGTTACCTCCGGGCGACAACACGCCTCCTTTGGCCCATATTTCTGGCGAAACGGTCGCCTGAGCAGCCAGCCACTGCTCGGGAAATGGTCCAGTGCTTTACCGTCACAGGAGCACGGCGAGGAGTGGGAAGGTCTCTTCGGAGAAGGTAGTCGGCCATGCTGACGGGGTAAGGCACTGTGGAAGTTCTCTAGCCGCAGTTGTCCGAACTCCCGATGTCGCGCAAAGACGCCACCTTTCTGCTCCTAGATCCACTCGAGAAGATCCTGGTGCCATTGCGGCATCCCCATTTGCGGGCTCCGAGGAGGGTGGGACATCGAGTGGACGACTTTTAAATATTCTCACAATATGGACATCATCGATGACATTGAGAAACTGCTTGAAGGAAGTACCTTGGACGAAAATGAACGCCAAGAACTTTCATCCGATGACGGAAACTGTTTGGAGATGGTTGTTGAGCCTACAGGGACGGATGACCTAGGTCTAACGCCCAAAAAGGACTCAAAGCCAAAACCAAAACGAAGGAGGTTAACAGGATCAGCGCGGAAACGCCTAAAACTGTTAATAGCCGCCAACATCAAGGCTGATGAAGCTTTAGAACTCTGCCGGAAGCCAATGCGAGACCAGCCCTCAGAGGTAAGATCCATCAAGCGCCCACGGTCAGAGGAGGTGTCCCCAAAGGAGCATACGCACAAAGCGCCTCGCGTGGCGCAGCCGACGCCCACCGGGACAGGTACTCAGGCAGCGGAGACTGCAAAGTCACCAGCGCCTACTGTACCTCAGACACCTAGAGTCACATACCAGGCACTTGCGACACCAGGTGGCTCTTCAAGCCCAATGGTGTTTGCACCAACAAGTGTCACTAGTAGCTCAACTAAGCGCTCTACGAATACGGCCCACCAGTTGCGAACGCCTGCACCCAAGCAGCGCGTAACGACTACAGGGACGAACGTAAACGCAAAGGAGGAAACTGCAACCTATAAGGATGCTCTCAAATCGTTCCGAGTGGGGATCCGACACACGGCCCCAATGACGGACGAAATGATGAGCATGGTGCGCTCCTCAGTTCTCCGGGAAGTTGGCAAGATCACGGAAGCTGGGAAGGGCCCTCGATTTGTAGGTTGCAGTTTCAAACCTGGTTGGCTGCTAATCACTTGCCAGAATGAGCCGACCAAAATATGGCTGGAGAGCATAACGCCCTCCCTAAAACCCTGGGCCGACGCAGAACTCTCTGTGTTGGACGAGAGAGCGATGCCCAAACCAGCCATTGGAACGGCCTTCATCCCCAGTTCGGAGACAAGGTCGGTCGATGAGGCACTCAGAATGCTGAAGTCCCAAAATGACTGCCTAAATTCCGAACTGTGGAAAATACTCAACCGTAAGGCTGAAGAGAACGGTACAGTCCTGACCGTATCTCTGGACGAGCCTTCGGTTGACTTCCTCAGAACACAGGACTATAAAGTCAACCTTGGCTTTAAAAAAGTCCTGTTCCGGGTCAAGGGGATCTCCACGCCTACACAGCAGCCTACTTCGGACGGTAATGAAAGATCTGCCACAGGAATACCCACACCATCCGAAGCGGCGAAGGGCGTAGACACCAACGCCAAACCCGCCAGAGGCAGCTTTCCCCAGCCAAAGGGGACCTCGCAGACGAGGATCCCCAGTTTCAAGACGGGACGGAAAGATCGCGGCAGGAGCGCCACAGCTTCCAATCGCAACCCAAAGGGACGCCCACGTCCCACAGGGAAGGCGAAAGGAAGCTGCTAACACGCCCACACGCAAGCAATGTATCAGAGCCAACATTGTCCAGGTCAACTTACATCATGCTATGGCAGCAACAGCGGTCATAGAAAACCTCTTCCGCAAAAACGACCTGGACCTTGCTCTGATACAAGAGCCATGGCTCAACAAAGCCACGCCTTTAGGCCTCAATGCCTCAGGTAATATTCTTTTTAATACCACTGGCACTAAACCTAGAGCATGCATTCTTTTTAATAAGAAACTAGATTTTCTGACTGTTCCAGAACTATGTACAGATGACCTAGTGACAGCCTTCGTCAATTTCCCTGGATGCACAGGGTCAAAAGTACTGGTCTGCTCTGCATACCTACCTGGACATGATGAAAACAACAAAATCATCAAAGACCCGACAACCGGCCTACAGCCTGTGGTGGAATACGCCCGTAAGCACAAGGCCGAACTCCTCGTGGGCTGCGATGCAAACGCCCATCACACAAACTGGGGAAGCTCTGACATCAATACCAGAGGTAAGTCACTTGATGATTTTATACTAACCAACTGTCTTCAAATCCTAAATACAGGGTGCACACCGACGTTCGTCACTGCCACAAGACAAGAGGTACTAGATATAACACTCGCGACCGACAAACTGGCCGAATATATCACTCATTGGCATGTCAGCAATGAGAACTCCATGTCTGATCACAAGCACATCAGATTCACAATTGAGGCTGCAACAGACTCAAACCCCATACTCTACAGAAACCCAAAGGCTACAGATTGGCCTAAATACAGAGACAGTCTTACAAGCCTAATTGCGGACCTTCCGAAGAGTATCAAATCTCCTCTAGAACTAGAACTCGCTGTGGACATACTTCTAAGTGGCATAATAAGTGCCTACCAGAACAACTGTCCCATCAAAACCAAAACCGCCAAATGTAAAACACCCTGGTGGAATAAGAGTCTAGAAAAGCTGAGGAAGAAAACTCGCAAATTATCCAACAGGGCTAAAAAGGGACCTTTCGAATGGGCCCAATATAGTAAAGCCCAAACGGAATACTACTGCGAAATTAGGAAAGCCAAAAGAGCATCATGGCGTGTTTCTGCGAGGAGATAACTCAGACTCCCCAAGGATCCAGATTACACAAAATGCTTGCCAAGGCGCCAAATAACCAAATTGGACTTATGAAAAGGCCCAATGGTACCTATACGACATCAGAGGAAGAAACTCTACAGCTGCTATCTACAACCCACTTCCCTGGTTCGGTTCATATCTCAAGAGATAAGGAGAACCCTCCAAGCTCACATCTACAAAAGCCCAACCATGAGGCGTGGAACAGAGCTGCGAGGATTTTTCGACCAAAACAAATTATATGGGCTATAAAATCTTTCAAGCCATATAAATCATCGGGAGAAGATGGAATTTTCCCGGCCCTGTTACAACAAGGGCTTGACATCCTATCTCCCTATCTGGTAAGAATATTTAGAGCCAGCTTTGCCTGGGGTTTTATACCAGAACCATTAACGAAGGTCAAAGTTACCTACGTACCGAAAACCGGTCGAAGAGACTACTCGCAGCCAAAGTCTCACAGACCTATAAGCCTGACCTCTTTCATAATAAAAACCATGGAAAAGGTTCTGGACCAACACATTAGAGCTACAATCCTCGAAAATGCTCCCCTGCACAGGAATCAACATGCCTACCGCAAGGGACATTCCACAGAGACCGCCTTGCTCGAACTCACCGACAAGGTCGAGAAGGCCTTTGAGGACAAACAAATAGCTCTATGTGCATTTCTCGATATTGAGGGTGCTTTTGATAACACGCCCATAGAGACCATCTCACAGGGACTCATCCGCAAGAAAGTGGATGAAACCACCACTCAATGGATCAAAGCAATGCTCTCAAATCGAACCATTAAAACTACTCTTCACAACAGTACGTTAGAAATCCGACCTACCAAAGGATGCCCTCAAGGAGGCGTTTTATCGCCACTGCTGTGGCTACTAACGGTAGACCAGCTCTTAGATGTTATGACCAAAAACCAATTTGATACAAGGCTACGCAGACGATTTAGTAGTCATGGTCAGAGGGTTCTGTGCAACAACAATATCAGACCGCATCCAAAGAGCACTAAACATCATAGTTAAATGGTGTAAGGAAAATGAATTATCAGTAAATCCTGATAAAACAGTAATTGTTCCGTTTACAAAAAGGAAGAAACTTGACAAACTTGTCATGCCTAAAGTAAATGGAAGAATATTAGAGTGCTCCAAAGAAGTCAAGTACCTGGGCGTAACCTTCGACCAAAAACTGACATGGAACACACACATAGACAACATAACTCAAAAGGCGAAAACATCCCTAGGTATAAGCCGACGGGTAGCGGGGCCCAGATGGGGAATCAACCCCAAAATTGCCCTATGGCTTTATACAGCAGTGGTGAGACCGCTTACCACCTATGCCTGCGCAATCTGGTGGAGTAAAACCCTCCAATCCACAGCTGCCACCAAGCTAAACAGCCTACAGAGAATTGCTTGTCTGATTATTATATAGGAGCCATGAGCACCACGCCGGGAGCAGCTCTAGACGCATTATTGGACTTGACGCCCCTTCCTCTATTCATACAGGAAAAGGCGAAAGCCAATATGCTCAGAATAAGTTCCCAAAGGAGGATATCTTGGCATTCCCTGGCCATAAAAACTATACAAGACTCGATTATGAGTGATCCTATTCTGGGAATGCCTGAAGACAACATGGCACCAGAGTGTAACTTTGTACAATATTACAAAATCGAAATATCTGGAAGAGACGAATGGCAAAATAACCATACACCGTCTCACTCAGAGCATGACCTAGTCTGGTTTACAGACGGGTCCAAAATAGGAGATGATGTAGGATGTGGAATATGTGGTGTAAAACCCAAAATCTGCAACTATATAGGCTTAGGAAAATACGCCTCAATCTTTCAGGCAGAGACTTACGCCTTAATTAGATGTCTGGAAGTAATCCTAAGCCTCAACTACATCAATCAGAACATATACATTTATTCGGACAGTCAAGCTGCTCTACTAGCACTTAACTCGTACGAAATCCGTTCTAAACTTATTAGAAACTGTATCCTGCTACTAAATGAAGTAGGAAGCAGAAATAATATTATTCTGAGATGGGTCCCCGGGCATTCAAATATTGAGGGCAATGAGAATGCCGACCATCTGGCAAAGTTAGGGGCAAAAACCGTCCAACTGGGCCCCGAACCCTTCTGTGGTGTGCCTCGTTGCCTAAAACTGGGACATCTCAAATTAATAACCAAACGAGAAACTGAATCACTGGCAAGAAATGCCAGGATTAATACATTCAAAAGACCTTATATCGGGCTTCTCGACCAAATACTCCAATAGATTACTGCAATTGAGTAAAAACAACATATGCATGATGACTAGGGCCCTCACAGGACACTGCAAATTGAACAAGCATATGGCTAAGCTAGGCCTATGCACGACAAGTATCTGCAGATTCTGCCAAACTGAAGAGGAAACGCCGCTTCACATCCTATGTGGTTGTAGTACTCTTGCATAAACGAAATATCTCCTTTGGAAAGTTTACACTCTTTCCCGAGGAGATAAAAACGATCGCTCCTAAGAATATCCTTCAATTCTTGTCCCTGACGGGTCTAGGTAGCGAACTCTGAAAAGGGCGAGCACAATAGATCTATGTAGGTCGCAGTGCTACAGGTGCTACACATCTGACAATAGCCCAAACAACCCAATAAAAATAAAAAAATAGACATAGACACCTATACAAATACCTATACATTGTAAATAAACTGGATTAAAAAAAAAGTAATTCAAATGTGTTTCTTGCCAGTTTTTCTCAATTGAATCTATATAACGAACTGGACGGTAGGGAAAAAAAATATAATGTAAAAACTTGACGTTCATAAGCGGCTAAAGTGTCCTACATGAATAAATGATTTTTGAATTTGATAATTGCTCACATTCAATTAATAGGCGCTATAATTTTAGTCCTTATGGGTACCAAACCTTCCTGTACTCAAAATACAAAATATATATTTTATTATAATTTATTTTATATATATTAATATATAATAAATATTATATCTTTATTATCTATTGTTTCTAGGTATGTACTGAGGGATCATAATTAAATTTTCATTCAAATGTTCAATATTTTTACACTTTTAACGGAATTGAACATGTTTTACAAGAATGACGTTATTAAGTATATTAAGAAAATTATTTAGCATTTACTATGGAAAGTCAATATTCAAGCTAGCAAGCTTGGTGGTATAGCAGATTAACACACAGCTTCACCTTCCAGTGGGTGCAAGTTCGTTGTCCGCACAATATAAACATTTGAATTCATAAACATGACATATGATTGCTTGTTGGTCTGGACGTTTTTATGCAAATGACGTATATATATATTTACAAAGTATTTCGGTAATTTGTTTAGTACCCATAGTGTAAGCTTTTGGACCAGGCAGCACAGTTTGCATATTTGATTATTGATCCCGATTTGTTTATTTATCTTATTTTTGGTTGGTATACCTCATATTTTATTTCTAGCCTTTTTTGACAACCTCGGTGGTCTAGCGGTTTAGCACACTGCTTTTACTTCCGATGGTCGTGGGTTCGATTCCTCGCACGGCACAAACATTTGTATTAATGATTATGATTGTTTGTATAGGTATGGGTGTTTTCTATGTACGTATTAATGAAAAAAATATTTATATCAGTTGTCTAGTACCCATAGAACAAGCTTTAGCTAGCTTAAAACTAGGATCTAGATGGCCCTGTGTGAATTGTTGTGATTATTGTTATTATTATTACTATTAAACCTGTTTATTAGAACAACAAACTTAAGAAAACTAATGATAAATATCTGCACTGGAACAGTATTTTATGCTGTATATATTAACTTTATTATTATACACTGCTACATTACTAACACAGCGGAAAAATTCTTTGATGGACAAGTATAAGTATAGGTGCAAAAAGATCAGCATAGTTGGTGGCACCAGTTGGAGGCTTTGAACAAAATTATGCCACGGGTACGCCTATTTATGTGTCTTGCACGTTTCGTATTTAACACACCTCATACCACGTTTTGTATGTACCTATCTGGCAATATGTAATTATATATATAAAATTAAATAATTATAGACTGCAATAAACACTGAAATTCTCTCATTTCTAATTTTAGTATGTAAATATATATTTTCATGAAACTTGGCATTGATATTTTGAATACAGATTCCATAATGTGAGCCAAGTTTCCATTTCAGGTTTTATAGAAGTACCTATATTGACGAGAACGATTCGATTGGTCACCGCTCATCTTGTATTAGGTTAGGTAGGTACTCCGAATTATTCTGATTCATTGACTTCAATGAGTAATCAATAAAGTAACGATACAGAGCCACGGGTTGTTAATTTGAGACGTTAGGTATCTGCGATTGTTTGTCACTACTAGTAACAGTCCTCCCAATAATCAGGTTGTTACAAGCCACGCAGTTGCTCATGAAAAGAGCGTGTATGTTAGTTCAGCAGCGTCATACCTGAGAGATATGAAACTAGGATATCCGTTAGATCAGCAAGTGACTGAGATTACTGATAGAAGGATCAGGAAAATCCATTTACCTAAATTTAAATCGGCTACAGACCCGGACAAGTAGCTCAAAAACAGCTGATAACCTATTGAATGTGTAGGTAAATGAAGTGTAACATCATCATTTGCATAGATTCTTCTCGACAAGCATTCAACATTGAAAGCTACGAATTCCGATTCAAAGATTAATAACACACTATTTTACCCAGTATAGATTATATACAAAAAATAAATTTAATGTGTCAAAAACATTTTTGTTTTTATATCGTTATTGTATTCCTACGTTCAGATAGTTATTCAGGAAATCTCATTGCGTGGGCCCGTAACATTTGCCACTATGCTAATCCGACACTATACATGACATATCAGTCCTCAAGAATGGCAACTCATGAGTGGTATCTACCACAGGCGTCACATGGCGTCGTTTGTATTCGTATACAGGCAGATGACTGTTTGACATTTCCACCATCTGGACCGTCAGTTTGTTTGCTTTGTTTAAAAAAAATAAGATCTATGTCTAGATGAGGAGAGATGACGTCAAATCTATTGCTGGTGGTTTAACATACGTAGCTGCTACAGGATCATTCCGACGTGATGCGGAAGAAGGAGGTTAACTTACGCCGCCGCATGAAGCAATGTGGACGTACCTAAGGAGACCTCTAATCAGTAATTACAAAGTGAACAGACAAGGCGTACACATTGTAAGTGACAATGACAAATTATTTTTGTTATTACTGACAATTATATTTGTTTAAAATAACGCTTGTCGAGACTTTTAAATAATAGGGCGGTATTCAGATTTACGTTGTTTATAATTTCGAGATTTTTGATAACAAAGAAAATCAGTATTTATTGACTTAAATTAATATTGATTACCTACTACCACTATAGATATATATATGACATAATAATGTCTTAGTAGTAGACTACTAAGATATTATTATGCCATACAGATTCATAGAAGTCTTCATTACTCAGTTCTTGTGCCTATTCCGTAAAGAACTTAGCTGGAGGTAGATTTAAAAATAAACAAAGTGATTGAATATAACCAATTATAATTTTATCATATTATTTATTTCTGTAATTTTTACACTAAGCTAACTTATTGATTAAAAGTATTCAATGTGACCTACCAATTACTCAGTCTAATCAGATGGACTGAGAAACCATTTACAATTGCAATTACGTTTAAAAATATAGATAAATGTACAATTAATTTATATATTTAAATTTATTTTATGTGTTTCAAATGTCTGGAGAAGGAAACAGTAAAACAGTTATAGCTGAGCATTAGTAGATACATTTGCGTAAACATACAAACCCTAGAAAATTACAGTACGGTTGCAGTGGAATTTCCTCCCATACACACTCAGATTGTGGAATGAACTACCTGCCGTGGTTTTCCTAGTGATTACAGCGTGGGGTTTTTCAAGAAGAATAGAATATAGTTTCCAATTCGCAGGGACCCTTGGTGTCACAGGTCCATTTAGTAATCTATAGGTAAACAGTAACCTTTTATCTAATGTATATATATATTAGATAGGTGAGCCGTAAGAATTATTTGGCACCACTGTAGTATGCAAAAAAATATATATATCTACAATAAGAAAGGACGTCATTTATTTTATCAATGGATAATTATTATTATGGTATTATATTTGTACGAATTACTATATATTGATACTATATATAAGGTAGGTAGGCCTTCATTGTCTGACTTCTATTTTAGCTGTAACTGCTGAAGCTATATAAACCGGACAAACTATGAAAAATGTAATGATATCTGGATTCCGACTCAATAATACTCAATTAAACTGATTATAATTATTAGCAATGACCACACTGTAACAATCTAATAATCTTCTAGAACAGAGCACGGAACTCGATAATATTTTTATAACATTACTACTTATATATTATTTTTTTGCATGTCACTTTTGAATAAATAAAAACAATAATAAAGTATTGCTGAAAATCTCGACACGTGAAACAAAAAATTGTATCATAATCGGTCCATTCGTATTGGAGCTACGATGCAGACAGACAGACAGGCACGTCAAACTCTATTTTAGCGTGGGGAGTTAGTTTTATTACAAAAGAAATATTCATATCAGTCAATGACTGAAATAAACATTATTCTGTTCTGTTAAAAATCCATGAAGTTCAGCTGAATACTTAAACAATCTACGATATACAATTTTGTATGGGATCGACCTTCTTCAGATTACTTTTATTGGAATTCATAACCACATTCTTCTTAAAACTATCTATTTTTATATTATTATTTTATAAGTTTTAGTAGTACATTAATAAAATAAAAATAATAGTTGATTTAAATTACAACTGAACTTAACTACAACTGATTTACATTACATGAACGTCAATCTTACAGGAATTATTCACTCCAATAATTTTGGTCGCTATGTAAAATATACACAATACTAGATATTATTATAGTGCATAATCATACACTAAAATTAATAGACTACGAACTCAACCAAAGAAATTGCAGTATAAGTAACAAATGTTTTACAATTAATAGAAAAAAATATTGTGGAAAATTGAGTCTAACACCAATAGAATATTTTATGATTCATTTCCTGTAAACCTCTTCTTCTAATGCGAGCTTTATGGATGTAAATGGATGCACGATCTCGTTTTATGGCCGAATCACTACACTGTGATCCAATGTAAATATTATCCTAGATTCGCTAAAATAAACAGAACCGAATAAAGTGAGCATTGGGCTGAAATTCAGATAGCGTAAGCGATGCATGTCATCGACGCTGAAACAGCTGAAATCTTGAAAAAACTAGAATGAATAATTATTAATTAAAACTTGTAGTTTGTAAGGGCGAGTGTTATAAAGAGTCGAGGAGTGTAGTGAGTGCCTCCGTGCGCACAGTACGCATCCGCGGCTACGTCCGAAAGGATCGCGGCGGTTGTTCGGAACGGATCGCTTTTATTCGAACATATACTTTAATCCGGACGAGTAATGCCTTAAATAAATTTTAATGAAGAAATATAATTAATATTTGCCACATAAATATTTTCTATCAAGTGACTGTGAAGAAATTATGTTTTCAGTGATTTGAAACTTGATTAAGGAGGTAAGTTATGTTTTTAATTCGTGTAGGTATATGCTAAAATTTATCTGAATGATGTTTATCTCGCACGTTATCTGATCTTTTTTTTAAATAAACAATATAAATTTATTTTAAATGAGAATTGAAACAATTTTTAATTAACTATTAGCGTAATTATTAAGTACTCCGTTATAGATACTTAGTTAATTGTAAGTTACAACTATGTACCTAAGCAATGACGTTAGCTAAATGGATATATATAAGTTAGCATATATTTTGACAATAGTAAAAGGGCTACGTTATAATACTACTGTAGATATATAAATTTATTAATATATTGGATTGTGTAGCCTACTTATACCTTACCGGCTCACCTTCGTTAGGATACAATTTGGCACGCGTTTTCCTTAAAAAATATGCATTCTAAATTTATTATTTTTGCATCACATTCTTTGTTTCATTTATTTAATTATTTATTTATTTTATTTTTGTTACTAACTGCAATTATGCTGAGATTTATGTTAATGAGGCTAATTGATAAATTGAGGCTTTAGGAGCGTCTTCATTTGTTTGTATTGTGTCCGAGAAGCTTGACTAAAAAAGAAGAAACATTTTTAGTCAATCGAGAGCTATATCTAATTTATAAATTCATAAAATTGATACTAATGAAAGTGTGATGATTTTTTTACGAATATATAAGTGCCTTGCACACAACAATATATGACACTATTGTTGTGGAAAAATTAATAATGGAGAATTGTAGTTCCGAAACCGAAAATCAGATGCCAGAAATAAGTTTTAGTTCAGAACTAACATAATATATTTAACAATAATTTATTGTTAAATATATTAGGTTAGTTATTGATTATATTAGGTTAGTTAGTTGATTTATTATAATTTATTTAACAATAAATTATTGTTAAATAAATTATAATAAATCAAATTTCAAAAAATAAATACATCTGCATGTATTTTTTGTTGTGTGTTAGACCTTGGTTGTTATCCGTTGATTTATTTGGAAAATTCCAGTATATATATTCACCATTTAGCTGAAATATATGACAATTTCATTATATGTACTCGTACTTACCTATATAATATGTTTACTCGTAATATTTTCCATTAAGAATTTCCAGCGTCTATCTCACATTTCAATTCCATAATTTCTGGTTTTAGCATATATATAGGTACATATATATTATTATTATATATATATTAATTTAAAAATATAATAAATATTATTTATATATATATTAATTATATGTTTTGGGATTTATTCAAATAAAATTTTATTAGACATTTAAAAATATCATTGGTTACAAATACAACCGTTGTAACCATAAATGGGCATTTCAGGAGCTAGGATACGTCGGAGCAAAAGGGAAAAGCCACGGATTATTTTACAAAAAAAAATTATTAATTAGTATATTTTGCATATATATTTACATATTTTGCATATATATAACCATTCAATCATATGTTAAATTCTTTATGCCATTTTACTGATAATTTTTATTTATTATCCAATTTTATAATGAACAATAAAGTATCTAGGTACTGTGATTAGTCACTATACTTGTACAATTTAAACACCCAAAAAAACGTAGAAGTGGCAGGAATATTAATTACAAATATTGAACTTGAAGGACAACCTAAGAACATTTCAAAGTTGTAAAAAGCAAAGTTCATTTACTTATTAAATAAAAAAAACGGCAAAGTGCGAGTCTATTTCATTAATAATTTATGTTTTCTTTGAATGAATTCAATGCAAATTATTTGAAGGGTTGAAACTTTGTTGGACCAAAATGTTACTAATAAGAAATTGTTAAGATTTTTATTTTGGTTTTTTAATAATTCCCCATAAATTATGTTGTCTAGGAATAGTATTACTGCAAATGGCACGTGCCAAGTACCTATAAAGTAACAATTACAGCACCTATACCGAGGTATAACTACTAGTTACTGGAGTTACTATTTATATTGAATCTAGTGACCATAGTTGCTTATAGTGCTGTCATAGGTACTGAACATATTTAGTTACTGTAGTTACTTTGTGTCCTGATCTGTTTATTATATTTGTCTAGTTATTATTATAGGTAGTACATTGATACTGGTAGGCCTGGTTGCATCGTAAAAAACACCGAAATTTATAAAAAAGAAAGAAAAAATATTTTTATTATTTATTTCCATTGTGAGTTCCACATAACATTGAAGTAATTTATTTCCCTGCTCTGCGAGTGGGATGTCAGTATCAAAAACTGTTAAAAATGTGTTATCATCAAACGGACGGACGGACAAAGTTTCACTAAAAGAGTGGAATCCTTATAGTGAAACGTTTAATGTATTTATTCGAAAACTTAAATATTGCAAACGCTATTGTCTAGAAGTAGGTACTGTTTAAATACTGCACCTACTGTCTGTTTATTTTTACTAGCATACCTACTAAAAATAATCTTAAGTTTTTTATGATACACTAAAAGCCGCGATGCTATAAATCCATACAAAAAAAAATATTTTTTTACATTCTTCTATATCAAATAAATAAATGCGTATTTAAATTCTAAAATCTTCTGAACATGGATAAAGTCATTTATGTTATAGATAAAATAATATTACAGGCCACAGGTAAATGATTTGGCTAAGTATCTGAATGGAGACGTACATTTCTTTATGTTGACAATAAAAACTTCATGATTTATTATTACAATTTTTTTAAAATAGTTGTTGAAGGAATTGTGTACTTCTCTACGCTTACGGTATATGCTTCCCGCGAACACCAGCAGAGAATGGTAAATTGAGGATGAGTAGAAGTCAGATCAGTCTTTTATGTAACTGGAATGGCAAGAGGCTGACGCTCCATCTGATGGTATGTGGTAACCGTCGCGTATATGCAGGAACAGCACCACGTACATCACGTTATCATGTGATGTCAGTGATAACACTCAAGGGTTACCGTTTCGGAGGACTAAGATATCCTTTTTGCATACCCTGTAAATTCACTGCCAATCAACTGTCAATCGGAACTAGAAGCTTATAAATCAAGCAGGCGGCAGAAGTAGGTGAGAAATACCCACGCATATTTTTTAGAAAGTCCATCTCGGTTAAAAATATATAGTGTATCTATTTTTTAATCTTTTAGACAGCTGGTAAATGTATGTAATATTTCTAGCAACATCAATTATATATCCAATACAGTATTGAAATATCAAATATAAAGTTAAACATGCTTTCAACGTCGTATTTTATACGATTGTTTAGGCATAAAAGTAACGAAATTCTTCCTCATAACGCAATTTGGAGCATGATTTAGTACTTTAGAAACCAAGAAATAGATAGGATGAAAGGATATTATTATTTTTCATAATAATAAGTACGTTTATTTGCGAAATTTATTTATGTAATCAGACCATAGTTACATTTTTTTATAGTCCTATTTGTCACGGTACTGTATGAGTATTAACATTATTTTACGTAAGTAATTCTGTCTCTTTGAGCATCTCTGTGGCATTTATTTCTATCTTTAGGAATAGCGATGCATGAGGGGTCGGTACTACGGGTTCAAACGTATGAAATCTGGGAAGACAGGGAAAATATGTAGTTACTTCATTTTGACGCAATTACCCATTCCGTTTGAACGACTGATTCATTGACGGGATGTTATATGACTAGTATTGACGAGTAGCTGACGTATGGTACAATGCATATTCACACATTTTCAATTACTCATTTATTTCATGATTTCACGATGGGAATTTAACTAAAATAGTTTATTGTTACATTTATTAGCATATGACTATATACCTGTGCTACCTCAATGTTAACTTTTACTATTGTTATGACTTCATTAGTTTATTACAATTCCCTGATGACGTAGAATTACATGCTAAGTTGAAAACCGTTGATTACAATATATTTTTATTAGTTAAGTATATACACTAGAGTACAGAAACATATATAAACGGCAATTAGGGGTTAAGGGGGGAGGAATTTACTCAACTTAAATTAAGCTATATCGACCAAAGGTACCTGTGTTTATGTATTACTACTACTGCGTATTATAGCAAGCGATGATATTTAATGCGAACCGCGTTTATTATACTATATCTATATGTGTCGCTAAAATTTGCTGAACTGATTGATACCATATCCCGTTCTAACGAAGTTCGAAATTACGACGATGTGAATCAGGGTTCGAACCCCTAGACTAGACTAGCGATGCCCTTAGACTATCCCTAAGTCCTATCTGTCAGGGACTTCAGCCACTCCTCAAGTCCTTCCGTGGGTTTCTATTGCAGTTGCTCGTATTTTCGTCCGGTGAATCTGTAAATGTCAACTATGTCCAGCACCTTAGGAATAGTGCCAAAAACTATGTACATCAACTTAGAAAGCTTAGGTTTGCTATCCTTAGATCATATAAGTTACGTATATAGAGACTGATGTCATACAGGTCTACTACATATAATACATAGTATAGATAATACAGTTTCATAAAGCTTCTACTAGATTAGTTTGTAAGAACGAGGGGTGCGTCGCTCCTTAATTCGTTTTCGATTAGTGAATAGCAATTGTAGAGAAAGCGACATTTTCTACGTATATACTGGTATTTGCGTCACGCTATGTAACTTTTAAAATATATGAACTGTAAAATACTTTTATACATTAAAACGCACCTACCTACTCTACCCTACCAATAATGAGCAATGATAACGCATATAGCATGCTATATATTATTATAAATGCGAAATTGCCAGTCTGTCTTTCTATCAGTTTCACGACAAAGCAGCTAGCTGAACATAACGGAATAACTTAAAAAATAAAAAGTAAACATTCTAATTTACCAGAAGCAGACTGTAAAAAGCCGTCAGCGTGGATACCTAAGTATCAACTATTTCAGCCTACAAGATTTGTAAGCTATGTTTTTGTTGAAGAATGCAACTAGAAAGGGATATTACAAGGTATTTTACTTTCTATGCTTGTTCAGCATATACTCGTAATATACGGTGCTGTAAATAAGTATTAAACAT